ACCCAAAAAGAAGTTTGTAAAAAAAGAAAAGCGGATGTTAGAGGCTGCGTTACCTGCAAGTGACTTGGGGCCTGGGCGGCGGATGGAACGAAGGCCATTCCGGGCATTGCGCCCAGTCGACCGCCCAACTCGCTGCCGCCCACCACCTAACACACAATAATCTAAATCGCACATTCTGAACCATAAATCGTCAAAAAAGGCCCATCTATGTCGATTTCCACGCGCCAAAACTCAGCAAGAAATTACCTGGAAAACTTGGCTTCCGCTCAGCTGATAATTGGCAGGCACCAAAACCTGCCCTCCGCTTTGTTGTTTGAAGATCATGCCTTGTGGTCTGATTAGGGACTGCCCCTTAACGTTGGGCCCCAAAGAAGGCCTGCCGCGTCCTCGATTCAGGGCGGAAGAGGAGGCGGCGTTAGCCTGCAGATGCATCTGCAACAAACCCCCCATTAATGCCTGCATTCAAACATGCAAACGCTCAAAATGCAAGCCCTACTTTTGATAAAAACTGGTACTGTTGGGCCCCTTTATTAGCCGCTAAGGTCTGGTAGGCTGCCACAGTGGCGTTCAGGCCAGTGGCGCGCATTTTGGGCATCCGCGGGATTTTCGCTGGCGGCTCCCAGTCTGGCGGCGGCTCCAGATTGCGGTCAGGTTTGAACTTGCGGGCGCACACCACTAAATGCCGCGACAGTTTCCCCTTTTGGTTGTCTTCGAACGGGCACGATGGGCACTGGTGGAAGGCTGGGGCTCTCTCCAGATGTCCTGCAAAAACCTGTTTTTAAAACCCGTTTCAACCGCTCACACTTTGAGCCCTGTACCTCTCACGGCATGTTCCGCCTCCATATGGAATAGGATATCGTGGGGGCTCCGCACTTCATATACGCAGAAGTTGCACTTGTATACAAAGTTCTTCATATGGGGAGTCTCCAAGTGGTAAGACATTGCCAACTTGGACTCCGTCTTGAAGTTGCAGAATTCGCACTTCTTGATCTCCATTCTGCAACAACCCGCTTATTTAGACCCCATCGGGCCGAGGGAAAGCTCAAAAGAACTCACTTGAAATGCTCATTGTTTCCTTTGCTCATCTCGATGTTCTTGATCAGGGACGAAATGGTCTTGTTCGTTTCGGGATTAGCGCCCTGCTCTCTATCGCGCTTACGCTTTTGTTGCTTCAAGAGATCCGACTGAACATACTCTTGCACCATATTAAAGCCGATGTCCATGAAGAACTTGCCTAGCGGACTTTCGAAGTAGGAGTTGGACTTTTTCGTCTCCACCTCAGCCTTCTCCTCCTCGCTGTCCTCTTCACTGCTGTAGGACGTATCACTGTCGGCATCATCTAAACCACTCGCGATTAGTGACCAAACTGATCCAACGAACATTGCATTAAGGACCGCTCACCTTTCGCTTTGTCACCTTTGTCCTTCCTCTCCTTTCGCTCTCTTTTCTCCTGCTTGCTGCTCTGGATCATCTTCTTTATGTTGACCACGAACTCCTTCAACACCTTGACTGGCGGCTTTTCGTAAACATACGGTACTGCGGGGAAGCAAATGGGTTGGACTCACGCAGTTTCAAAAACAAGCAGGAGGCTTACCAATAAAGGAAGGAGCTTCCACTACAAACATGTCGTCAGTCAACGTGGGCAACAAAGGCGGCGTGGCCGGTTGCAAAGAGGAGGCCATAATGGGCGACGATTTGGAGCTGCCGCTCGATGGAATTGGAGTGATGGTGGCTCGCATATTGGCCGGATACATGCCTTGTGCGGGCACCGCTACTGGCAGAACACTGGCGAAGTTTGAGGAGGAAAGCGACTGGGAGGACTTGGAGGGAACCGGAACTGCTCCGCGACCTAAAAAACAACACCGACCAAATGATGAGCTACAATTAATGGCACAAATAGCTACTAAGCACTAAGCAAACTGACTCCGATCCCATTCCTCCTTGACCAAAAATATTTTCTTTTATTAATATTATTTACTAAAACCACTCAAGCATGACCAACCATCAGTTTTTATCTGTAATCTTAAAATTAGGGTAGTTAACTAAGTCAGTCCATTGACTTTCC